AAAATAAAGGGGAGATAAGAGGATAGAGGATAAGAATAAGGGATCAATGCTTGCGCGTTAGAAGTGAAGAAAGAGGGAAGGAATCGGGAGGGTTATAGAGGACGACAGGGAGGGAATAGAAAATAAAGGGAAATAAGATATCGAAAAAAGGGATGAATAGAAGGGAAGATAGGGGAGTGAGAGGGGGAAAGGGGAGTGGAAAAAATAGAAAATTGATGAACAGAATACGAAGAGGGAATAGGAAGTGTTAATATTGGAAGAGAGAAAAAAATAAAATGTGTACGATTTTCTAACAGTTAAGATCGATTAGCAAACAAATGCTTCATGAACAAATTAAGACATTTGAACAAATAGATAAAGAATTACACATTCGACCGCAAAAAAAGAAAGAAAAAGAGGAAGCTAACACGGCTGAGCTCAAATTTGATTAGAGAGAGCTGAAAGTAATTTTCAAACTTTTATTCGCTGAAACGTACAATGGCGAACGAATTTTGTGCACATAACGCTCTCCGCGGTCGCTATAAAGTATTTGCTATATCTACTTTTTTTTTTTACTGGATTACGTCATGCGTAAAGCAAGTGTTTTGGACTCCGCTTCGTATTGACTTTTTTCGTTCGGTTCATTATAGGGTTAGTTCAATACGCTATCCTCTTTTAGGGTAATTTAGGTTTACACAATGATTAGATTCAACGGCGTGGTCCTCTGCGCTAATGGAAATCCAACGAAAATAGTTAGAAAGAGAGTTCATGCATCCCCTTAAACACGTAAAACATTTTATGCGAAATGTTTCACATAGGAAATACAGTTCAGAAGCAATATCATCAATGACCAGTGTTACCAACTGCTGATGATGATAACTGATCTTAATAATGGATATATACTGCATAAGTAAATAGATAACCATATATATATGTAAATACATATACATGCGTACACACACACATATATATATATATATATATATATATATAGTATATATATATATATATATATATATATATATATATATATATATATATATATATATATATATATATATATATATATATATATATATATATATATAGTATATATATATATATATATATATATATATATATATATATATATATATATATATATATATATATATATATATATATATATATATATATATATAGTATATATATATATATATATATATATATATATATATATATATATATATATTATAGAATTTTGGCAAGTTTATATAGTGATAGAGAGACAGGTTGAGCAAGATCTGAATCAGGTCTCAGGGGGAGGGTCAAGGTCGAAGAGTTTGGGGAAGGCTTTGCTAACAAGTGACGAGGTAATATCATCTAATCCCCATTGACCAGCACTCAAATTAAAATTAGGCAATTTTCTTATTAAAAGGGCTTCAATTATTTTTCTTTCGTACGAGTTTGACGATCTTTGAATTAACTTGGCATCTTTCCAATTTAATTGATGTCCTTCGTCACGTAAATGAATAAAACAAGCGTTAGATTCTCTGGCGTATCTGACATCACGTCTATGTTCATTAATTCTTTTTTCAAAAGTTCTGCCGGTTTCGCCTATGAAAAATTTCGGGCAATCCTTGCAAGGAATCGTGTAAATACCGGGAGAGGTCTCAGTAGCACTAGTTATATTATGCCTAATCAAGGTATTGCGCAACGTGTTCGGGTAAGTAAAAACGATGTCAATGCCAGCTCCTTTAAACATACGGCGTTTTTCATCGAGAGACGGGTTGTAAGGAATGATTAAGAGATTTTTTTTATCACTTTCTTGTTGCATGTTACGGGAATGATTATAAAATTTCCATTTCGCAGATGAATGTGCCTGATTTAAGAAAGAACGAGGATATCCTAATTTTGAAAATGTCTCGAAAATAAATTCGTTATCGCAAATCCTATAAGCCTTCAGGAACATTGGCGAGACAACTGGCCTCTTAATGTAAAGCGGGTGATTCGAGAAAAAATTAAGATAATTAGCGGTGTGGTTTGGCTTACGATAAACTGAAAATTTATGCGAGCCATTCACATAGGATAAAAGACCGTCGAGAACAGGTAATTTACCTGAGTCTTCCCATTCTACTTTAAGGTTAATGTTACGAGCGAGGTTATTTAGTCTATTGAGAAAATCATCGAAATCTGAACGGTTCATTTGCCACATAGAAAAAATGTCATCAACATAGCGAAACCAAATAGTGTTCGGCGGGAGGATTGATGGAAGTAATTCAGATTCAAACATTTCCATATATAAATTAGCTAAAACCTGGCTATGGCTACTTCCCATCGCGATACCATGTATTTGCTTATAGTAATCACCGTCAAAAGTAAGACATTATTTGTAACACACAATCGAATGAGATCGATAAAGCAATTGACCGGAATAGGGATCCTCTGATGAAACGAAGAAAGTTTGTGAGTTTTAGGAAGGCCATAAAAATACGGCATCGATGGGTTAATCGTTCTGAAGCGATCAAAAAAATTGGGGTCAAGGCATTTAGCAGCAATACGTTTGAGGTTTTTACAAAAAGGGGACCTGATTCAGATCTTGTTCATCCTGTCTCTCTATCACTATATAAACTTGCCAAAATTCTCTCCTAGTATACATTTCGGTTTTTGTCTGATGAGGAACTCGCGGACAGTTCGAAACGTCACGCTTATTTTCTATTTTCTTTGTGGCTAGTTTCATTTTCATATATATATATATATATATATATATATATATATATATATATATATTATATATATATATATATATATATATATATATATATAATATATATATATATATATATATATATATATATATATATATATATATATATATATATATATATATATATATATATATATATATACATATATATATATATACATATTATATATATATATATATATATATATATATATATATATATATATATATAATATGTATATATATATATATATGTATGTATGTATGTATGTATATATATATATATATATATATATA